TAAAATAGGTTCCAAATCTTTGGGGTAACTTGAAACCTTAAATTTTTGTTAAGTTAAATGACAGAAATTCATTCAACATTTACATAATTTCCAAATAAGATAAAGTACTGAAACATTGATTACTGAATATAGTTTTGTCTACTCTTGGCTTCTTGTTACAAAGTAACGAAACTATTTGGGCCTGTTAGTAAACACGTCTTGTGCTACATTGAACAGTTGTACTATGAAGAAGGAAGAAGAAGGATGTGCTTTTAGAAATTATGAAATGTATTGAGAAATTTGCCAATCTACATAATGTTGGTGTGTAGCAGTTCAAAATTGCTTACTTAGTTTTCAATAAAAATTAAGGTTTCAGGGAGAAACATCTGTAATACATTCAACAATAAAGATGAGTTTAAATAAAAGATTGCTCTTGGTATAAACTAAAAAAAAAAAATTAAGGTTTTAAAGGTTGGGAATTCTAATTATTATATGTAATTAAAACTGTAGAAATTGTAAGGGAAACCTTTATATGCACAGAAATTAAGATGTGTTTTTGGTTAAGAAAATGCATGAGGTATGGAGATGCATTTTTGTTAAGGGAAAGAGTAATTTTTTCTTTTTCTTTTTTGGTACTGTATGTGCCCCTAGCGGAAACTGAACCCAGGACTCTCTGGTCCGCAGGCCGACGCTCCAACCGCTGAGCCTAACCAGCCAGGACAAGAGTAATTTTTTCTTAAAGTACAATCAGTTGTTTCAAAATTGCCAAGTGGAGAATAAAGAAAAAAATAATGCATATAGAAAGCTGGAAAATGAGAAAGAGAGGGACCCTTGTGTAATTAAGTTAGCTGAAGTGGAATTACTTTATTATAAGGGTTTAAAGATAAGCTTTAATATCAATAGTGTACTTATATAAAACTGAAATGTAGTTTTCTTTCATCTGCTAACAGGATTGTCTTGAACTGTTGGTCTGCTCCTGATGAAAAATTGTGAAAGGTTTTTCTTTACTCTTTCAGGTCATTTAAGAAAGCAAAGGTTTTGCTCTACTAAAATAATCATGTGCTTCATATTATCTTTATCACTAGGTCTTTGATTACTTAGGAAAACCAAGTTGTCTTAATATGAAGAGCTAAATTTTGCTCACAAGTATGTAACTTTTTTATCTGCCTTTAAATTTTTTTATTGTCACTTTGATTAAGTAGGTGATTAAGTATTGTTTCATAATGATCTGTGATCCTATTTTGTCAAGTATCCAAAACTTGATACTTTGGGAAAATTTCCTACCTTGAACTAACTTGGACTATTTCAAAGGGCCCCTAGAACATCTCAAGATTTCTCTCTCCTTGTAAAAAGAGATATTAAACTAATTAGGCTTTTGTTATATTACATGGGAAGAATTGACAAGTAAAGCAAAAAAAAAAATTTAAGTCATATTTGTAGAAAAACATGTTATTAATATGTGTTCCAGAAATTGTATGACATTCCTGGAAACCTGTGTCCTAGTATAATGTTATCACTTGTAACTCCAGGTACTATCTTAAACTGTGTGTCACAGAAACAATCAAATGTCCTTGTTGGTTGTATTATAATGAACTCTCACCAGATCTTTAACCATGACCATTTTTAAGTCTTTTGTCATTTCCAGAAAATATTGTTTTGCTTTTGCAAAAGCCCTTCATATTCAGGGAGATTCATGGAAAGAACTCTGAAAAGTACAGATTTCTGATAACTTTCAAATTATACCACTGAACTGGGTAAGAATTAACCAAGAAAATTCTAAGGAAAAAGTAGATTCATAAAACTGCAAAAAGAACGAGATCAAGAAGGATTTATGATCTGGGACTGAATTAAATAATAAGGATGATTATAATTTGTATACCTCTTTTAACGTTTTGTTTTTCCAGATTTAAGGAAACTTTTTTCTTTTCTCTTAAACTATCTGTGACTTACAGTAATTTGGTAAGTATACTTTTATGAACAAGATGAAACAACTATTCATCTCCCTACCTTATTCCTCCAGAATTTGCAAATTCTGAGTATTCTTGTTTTCATGACAACATAGTTATTTGCATAAGTTCAAATAGAATCTGTTCTTCTTGTAACAGGACACAATTGGAAACATTGGTTTTACTACCAAGACTTTGACTGAAAAGTCACATTTGAGAATGTACAAAGAATCATATATGACCAGACAGTTTTAAGGAGTTTTAATAAAGCCCTTTGGAAAAGCTGCCTGGTACCTTGCTTATAGGTTTCCTGGCAGCCTTACCACTTCCTGGCAGGTGCAGTAACCTCAGGATATATTGGGGACCTTGAGAGGAGAGGAAATAACCCAAATATATAGATATTGCAGGCAGAGTTTGAGGGCAAGACTTTGGCTTTCAGCCTTGAAAGGCTTTTAAAAAGTCCAAGCTGTTGCCAGGCCAGTGTAGCTCAGTGGATTGAGTGTCTCGTCCTATGTACTGAGAGGTCCCAGTTCGATTCCCCATCAGGGCACATGCCCAGGTTGCATGCTCGATCCCCACTAGGGGGCGTGCAGGAGGCAGCCGATCAGTGTTTCTCTGTGTCTAAAAAATCAAAAACATATATATATTTTTTAAAGTCCAACCTGAGATTTCTTATGAAAAATTGGAGCAAAGCAGATTTTAAAATGCCTATATCTGGTCAATTAGTCTTCTTGCTGCATCTATATAAAATAATCAGGCCAAGTTTATTGAGACTAGATTTATTTTGCAAACAGATTAGTTTTACTGTAATTATCTTTGGTAAAATGGGGTGATTATGGGGAAAATTGAAGCTCAGTAGAAACTATAATGCACCTTGAGGATGTGTGATTCTAGTCCTGTTAACCACCGGAGGTTTTGTTTCCTACCTGTAAACTGGACTGGATGCTGAATTCTAGTTTCCTCAAATAATCTGACTACAACTCTTCAAAGTAATGTTTCCAATTTTTTTCCCACTCTTTTAACTGGGAATCACAATTCTGTGATATTCCTAGAAATCTTGATATGCCTTGGTATGTTGTCACTTGTAATTCTGGTTATCTTTAAATGGATGTCACAGAAATAATCAGATTTCCTTGTCAACTGCATTATAATAAAATCCCATCAAATCTTTAACTATCGCCATTTTTAAGTCTTTTGTCATTTATAGAAGTTATTGTGTTGTTTTTGCAAAAGAGTTTCCCAAAGCCCTGCAAACTGAATGTGAACGACGGATATAAACTTCAGCTACATGGCCACAATAGCTCCTATTCAGATACTCCTTGTGCCTTGTGTCGTGTGGGCCCCTCGGTTTACAGAACACTCGGTGACATCAGAGACATTCAAACTGCACAGGATGCTTCATCTAGAAGTCTTCTGACTAGCTGCCCTCAAGACTCAGACTCAGTTTATAATTTGCTCCAACCATACAGGCCTAACCTTGGGAACCCACCTGCAACACCATCTCCTGAAATGAGACACAACTATTTACTTGAACTGACCTAGTCTCAAGATTAAGAAACTGGTTCAAGGAAATAAACCAACTATGTACCAAATTCAGCTTCTGGTCTTTGAAACTCCTTTGAAGTTTCAAAGGGGAGCAGAATATACCACCCAAAATATGCCTCTTTGGCATAAGAATTTTTTTTTTTTTTTTTTGAGCTGATTATTTTTAAGAAACAGCAGACACAGGAAAAACTCTGAGAATGTAGAAGGAGTGACACTTTCATAAGGGAAATTTATAAGAGAAACTCTCTTTGTAAGGGTGCTTCCCGCTCTGTACCCGGAGGAGGAGGAGGGCTCCAAATCATGAGAAGCTCATCAGTGGAGAAGGCACCACATTACGTCTACGAGACAAGCCTACCCTTGTTTACTGTGCTTTTCCTGGTACCCTCCCTGACTTGGCCTCTCCCACCCCCATCGTCAGGTGGTGGCTTAGGCCACTTTCAGGAGACGTAGTTTTCCTGGGTGTTTCCCATGTACACAGGAGGTTACATGCTATTAAACTTCTGTTTTTCTCTTGTCAATTTCTCCTTTATTACAGGAATAGATCTCAGCCCCAAACCAAGAAAGTAGGGGTGAAATTACTTTTCCTGTCCTACAAGGACATTTAGAAAGTTTCTGAGTAAACTGTTAAGTTACAGCAATTTTCTTTTTAGGAGCAGAACCATAAATCAACCACGGGCTCAGAGAAACACAACGACAGAGTGAACGGCAGAATGGTGTATTCTCAGCCTCCTCACAAAGGCACAGCATCCTGGGGCATCAGGACTCTGGCGGGTCGCGTTGCATTCGTTAAACAGTTGGGGCGTTTAGCCATTTCCTAAGTGTATGAGGCCTGGTCACGTACACGGGAATATACATGTACACACATACCTGCAGCAGTATAACATACGTGCTGTCTAGAGCCCATTCACCTTATGCATGGGGAACCAAAGTAGATGTTCTGACATAGTCATTCATTTGGCTTAGAAAGTTCATACACCACAAAAAAACTATTTCAAAAAAAAAATCTGTGGTGAGATGGTAAAAGCATCACATTTTTCAGCATAGAGAGAGAAAAACACTCAAAAATGCCTCAAAAAGCTTAAATCTCAAATTATTAAAAAACAAACAGAAATTACTCAAATGAATCCTGGAGGTCTCAAGGCATGATCTCTAAATTAACAGCCCCCGACCCTGCCCTTATGTGGTTTTTAATGGCTGTTAAACACACTTAAACTTATTTTTAGAAAAACAACAACAAAACAACCAAACAGTAAATCATGATGGCTTTTTAAAATTCTATAAAACCTCAAATTCAATAATTACACAAAGTCTTACAGCTAAAAGTCAAGAAAAGAAATGTAAAAACAATTTTGGAACCAAGGCTCTCAGAAGTCTTGTTAAAACTCAGCGCCTGACACGCTCCAGCCCGTCTCTGCGCCTGCGCCGCGGGACCAGCCTGCGGCCTGGCAGAGGCTCCTGGAAGTGGATCACCGGGGCCTGCGCATCCCGCATCCCGCATCCCGGCGTCCCCGAGAGGAGTGAGCAGCCGCTTCAGACCAGGTTGAACTCCTTCAGGTTCAGCTGCAGAATCGTGTCCTTCACGGCGGCGAACACAAAGCGGATGTTCTCGGTGTCGGTGGCGCAGGTGAAGTGGGAGTAGATGACCTTCTCCTTGTCCGGGTTCTGGTCCTGGTAGAGCTTCAGGATAAAGTCTCTGGCAGCTTTCACGTCCTGCTTCGGTCCTGGGCATGAGGGCAGGTAGAGGAATAAGCAAGGATACCAACTCGCCACCAGCTACTCCCCCAAATTAATTCCACTGTCCTCTTGTTCTTATCTGGGGTCCTTCTTTAAGCTCTTATTGCTAGAGGATAGTGAACCGGGCACAGGATTTTTTTATTACAGCTCATCATGAACCTGGAAAAGAGTGTTTTAATGTGTCTACTGGTATCTAAAAATTGTACTCTAAGGCAGCGTGTTGAAGAATAGTGACTCAATCTAACTTTCTGGCTTGGCCCACTTTTGAAGAGAGGTCATTCTGGGGAGCTGGGGCAGGCAGACGTGTGGGCTAAGAGAGGGGAAAGGAAGAACGAGGGGAGCCAAGGCTGCCAGGCACCCAAGTCTGGTCTCAAAGCCTGCGGGCCCCAGGGCCGGCACAGGGAGCCAGGAAAGGACAATGCTAAAACACTGCTCCTCGGTCAACGTCAAGCTCCCTGATCTGACACCTCCGGCACCAGGAGTCAGCACTAGGTCACAAACTCTCCTGCCTTGGATGGGTCATGTACACAAAGAACCTGTGTCGACTCTGTGTCTGGGGAAGGGGCTGCCACCCTAACACAGGACGTGCCAGGTGCTCTGAGCAACACTAGGAGTGCAAAGGTGAGTCAGGCACAGCCTCTGCCCTTAGGAGCCCCATGGGGAGACAGCTGGGTAAACCCAGGCCACCAACAGAGCATGAGGGAGTGCACCTGCTGGGGGACTTCCTGGAGGAAGAGTTGCCGGAACCGGGTCTAGAGAACAAACTGGAGTGGGCAAGTGTACCCCAGGCTGGGGGAGGCAGGGTGGAGCTGCGTTCGCAGGCGGGACGGTGAGGGAGCCGGGTAGCGGCAGGCGGGGAGGCCCCGTGAGCCACGGTGAGATCTCTGGGCTCATGTCAGCGGGGTGGACAGGATGGACACTTACCTGTGTATTCTGGGAAATAGCTAATTAGATGAGAGTACATGATTTTCTCTTCCAAAAGGTCCTTCTTGTTTAAGAACAAAATCACGGATGAGTTCAGAAACCAGGGGTAGGTGATAATGGTTTTAAATAGGGCTTTGCTCTCTTCCATGCGGTTCTAAGCGAGAAGAAGAGGTGCTCCGCGTTACCCAGAAAGAAAAGCAGAACTTTGGAAACGACAGGTCAGATGGCCGGTTCCATTTCTATCCACCTGCCCTCACCCAACTGCAGTCTGGGGGCCACTGTCCTTGCTGAAGCTGGTGAGCATGTGGGGGCCCCTCTCCTCAACTCTAGCCCCAAACTAACATGTGAGGACATAAGAAAAGCTTTTGTGCAGTATGGGAAAAGAAGGTTCCTGCTCACATTTGACAAAGTTCTGTGCGTTGTTACTGGGATTCGCAGGAGGGGACATTCACAGCTTCGGCCCAGAGACGCCTGTGCTATTGGGAGTGACCTCAGACCGTGCCAGGGGTCACAGGATGATGAGGGGAAGACCTGCTCTTCCAGCGGGGCCCCCACCCTTGAAGACGCTGGAGGGAAGGGACCCAGCCCTACGCTCCCTGTGGGATTAGCCCGAGTGCTCTTCCAGGGGAGCAGGGTCCCTACTGTATGGATGGGAATGCTGGTCACAGAATTTAAATATGTTCCCGGGCCCATACAATAGCAGGATTTGGTGGGAATTATGCAAAAGGAAAGTAAACTTTCTGGACTTTAGACGTTGCCAAGAAAAATCCTAACTGTTCAGATTTATGTTCAGATAGAGTGGGAGGGAAGGAGAGAGAGAGAAACATCGACATGAAAGCGACACATCGAGTGGTTGCCACCCACACGACCCAACCAGGGCCGGGGACAAACTGCAACCAAGGTACGTGCCCTTAGCGGGAACTGAACCCTGGTCTCTCCGGACCGCAGGCCGACGCTCTAACCGCTGAGCCAAACCGGCCAGGGCAGTTCAGATTTATGGAGAACAGACAGGGCACATACAGAGCTTAGCCAGTGACGACAGTTGTTCTGCACAGCAGTCTGCTCTCTTGCTCTCAAGTATTTCTAAGAGGAAAAAAATAAGAACTTGCCCTGGCCGGTTTGACTCAGTGGTTAGAGCATCGGCCCGTGGACTGGTGAGTTGCAGGTTCAATTCCGGTCGAGGGCACATGCCTGGGTTGCAGTTCGTCCCCGACCCTGGTCAGGTCGATGTTTCTCTCTCTCCCTCCCTCCCACTCTATCTGATGATAAATGGAGAAATATCCTAGGGTGAGGATTAAAAAAATAAATAAGAACTTCCCTTTTGGGAGTTCTGAGAAACATCAAAGCCCAGAGGGACATGCTCTAAGTCTCTATTTCCCCCCAACTCCCAGACATGTGGGCTCCTGCTCAATATATTTTTGGGGATTAAGATCTGAAATTTATTGCTTTTAAAGCTTCTTTAAAATTTATTATGATCTTATCAATAACCACCTCTAAGGAAACATATGACAACACAAAACGATTCAGCACAAGGAGAGGGAGCAGCACCTGTCTACAACCAGAAGGGGGCGCCTAGAGTGCAACCATGTAGTTTTTCTCCAAATACCTTGTGATTTTTTTTTTTAGGAGAGAAGAGAATGTTTAGTTTTTTAGCATATCAGGCTTTTTAAAGTACTTGTCCCTTGTGCACCTGACTAATCTGAGTTTCCTGAGAAATGTCAAAAGTAATTCCTGAGACATATTTTTCATACTGTTAACTTGAGGACTTTCTTTAAAAAAAAAATGTATCCACTGGAAGAGCTGGGCAGCCGCCAAGATTTCTATTCTTTGCACAATGACATTAGTACATGGGTTAATCCCCCACTAATTAACTAATGTAACTGTGCTTCTCAGAGGAAATTATGCTCTCAAGATATATATGATTTGTTCATAGTTATTACCTAATCCTAGACAGAGTTCCTGACTTACTTTTATGCCCTAGAAGCAAGAGACGTTTTTCTGCGAGGTGACGAGGCCTTGGGAAGGGCAGGAGAAGAGGTGGTGGGAGGACAGCGGTGGCCCCGGAAGCCACCCCATCCTCACAGAGAAGGGACTCTGACAGTGTCGCTTTCTGGGCAGACCCAGCTCATGGAGCTTGCCCAGCCAGCGCTGAGGACTCTGCAGAGGGCACTGGCAGCCTGACAGGGTGGGTCCGGCCCAGCCCCCGCAGCTGGTCCCTTCCAGGGACTGAAGGGCAGACGCCGTCCGGGAGGCCCCGAAAGGCTCCAGGGACCACTCTCCACACCAGCCCAGCTAGGGCCTTGCAGGTCAGGAAGCCTGTTCTCAGGTCAAGTTTTTATAAAATAGCCTTGTTCAACTTCAGCTGTAGTTAGCATCCCTGGGGGCTTGGAAAAGATACCCCAACTCAAACCCAGCAACAGGAATTTCTACTGTGGGGTCCAAAAGGTGGTGCTTGTTCAGAAGTCCCCAGCGGATTTCAGTGTGCAGCCCAGGCTGATGGCCAGCGCCTTTGAGGGGCCCCGCCCCGCGCCGCACCGGGGACCCACGCTCGGCCGCGCACACCACCAGGTTTCCTGCCAGGCACCCATGGAATCCCAGTGTGCACCCAAGTGTGAGACCAGGTTTCCAGGTCAGTGATTCTCAAAGTGACACGTGTATGGGTATCGCCCGGGAACTTGCTAACATGCCAATTCTGATTCATTCCGTCGGGGTTGATCTAGGAAGTCTACATCTCCAGCCAGCATCCAGGTGGTCTGTGCGCCAGTCCACTTACTACACTTTGAGCAGCAAGACAAGTTAACCTCAGGAGTGGAGTCTAAGGCACAGCTGGCTGGCGGTCAGAAACTGCAAACAATAGGTCTCTGTCTCCCACAGCTCACCAGACTCCCCACCTGGCATACCTCATTGTCACACTCAGCCAAGACCTGGTCATATTCACTCAGAGCAACCAAAAAAATGATGGAGGTGACGCTCTCGAAGCAGTGGATCCATTTCCGCCTTTCAGATCGCTGGCCTCCAACGTCCACCATCCTGTTCAACAGAAACAGATCTCTCAAAGGCCGGAATGCGAGCTCCTTCCGCCTGGGAAATCGGAAATCTCTGAGAGCGGCAAGGGGACCTCAGCTGAACCGTCTCCGCACCGCTGCTTTGGGCACAAGGACCCACTGGCGTTGCAGGGCCCCGGCCCCCACAGGGGTACAAAGTCGGGTCCTCTTCCAGGTCCACTGGCCTTCTCCAGGCCTGTGCCGCTTCCTGTTTTCATGGCTCTAGTTTATCCACAGATCCTTCCTACATCAGGTGAATGCTGCCCCCTGTTCCCTATAAAGATGCATAAGTGCCCTCTGTTCAACGTGGGAAACGAGTGCGTGTGAGGAGACTGAGGGACTCGCAGCCGGGGACAGACCCCAGGCCTGCCTGCCGCAGGAGTCCGGGTGGGCCGCTGCACCGCAGACGCGCATGCGCTCGAGAGGCCCGGGCCTGTCCGCGGGGGTGACTGCAGCGCAGCTGGAGCCAGCTGTGGACACACATGCGGGCTCCCTGTGACCAGATCCTCCAACTAGATAACACGTGTTTTCAGTAAAACAGCCCAGTTTTTAAATGTTGGCCCAAAAGTTTCTTAAAACACCAAGTGGTCCAAAGAGACTACATCTGTGGACCAGATCCAGGTTCGGGGAGTTGCACTGATGCCGAAAATGTTTAGGTAAATCCGTGGGCACGGAAGGTGCTCACAGAGATGCAGATTTCCCGGGGCGTGGCCACAGGGCTCCCCAGCGCCCCAGAACCACTGAGATGTGACAGGACCTGTGTTGTCTCAACTAAAAAGCACGTGTAGTAACTGTCAGGAGATCAAGGGAGCCCATGGGTACAGAGGTGCGATGGAATCCGCGGGGCTGTGCGCACGGTCCATGTTGTCACTCAGTTTTTGCCATAATTAAATGCAATGAAGACCTACTTAATCATCCTGTATTTATACATGACAACCCTCATACAGCTGTAAAATAGTTATATATTCTTATGTAATTTTTAATACACATTTTTGTATTGATTCTTTGTTTTCTTTTTTGTTGTCATTAATCCTCACCCGAGAATTGATTTTGTTTTTTTTTGGGGGGGGGGCGGGAGGTGGGAGGGAGACACACACATCGGTTGGTTGCCTCCCGCATGTGCCCTGCACGTGCAATCTAGGTACATGCCCTTGACCAGGAATCAAACCTGCGACACTTCGGTGCGCAGGCTGATGCTCTGACCACTGAGCCACACAGGCCAGGGCCTTAGTTTTCTTTTTTAAGAAAAATCTTGGAGAAAGGAACAAAAGGGGAGAGAAATATTTTCAACTTCATGGAAAAGACATCAGTATATTCAATGTGTGGGTTACAGAAGTATAACATCTGTGTGTGTGAGAGGCGGGGTGTTACACACAAGAATCATCCCAGACTCTTCATCTCTGAGGGGAATGGGAGGTGGGACCCTCTCTATTCTAGGACTTGAGACCGACCACAATTCTAAATACCCTATAATGGAGAGGGCATGTTGCCCTGGAAGATAGAACCCCTTACAGGAATACCATATTTAAGAATCCTTTGGGGGACTTCCAAGCCTGCACAGACAAATTCTTAATGGACCATGTCAGGGAGACATTCTTACCGGAAGATGATGTTTTCCAGGTCAAAGGGATACTCAATGATGCCGGTCGTGGGCACTCGAACCCGAAGCACGTCTTGCTGTGTAGGCACGTACGACGGCAAGGCGATCCGGTCAATATCAGTCAGGTAACTGTCAGAGAACAAGGCGCCGAGACTCGTTTTAGAGAAAGGAGTGTCATCACACTCCAGGGAAGTCACTCCAGCTCAGAAGAAGCCTGCTCAGGTTCATGGGTGCCATCCTGACCTGACCGGCAGCCCTCCTACAACTGTTTTGGAGAGAATATGGGTCGGGCGCTCCCATGAGCCTTGTGGGAAATCTGCAGATGTTCCATCACTTCCTGCTGGTTCTAAGTCCCTCACTGTCTGACTGGTGAGAGAGATGGCAAGGCTGGAGGAAGATGTTGGAATCTACCCTCCACCTCCAAAGACCCTTCCCCTCCCACACTCGCCCTCAGCCACGCCCATTATAGAAGGCAGACGCTGTTCTCACACGCTTTGCTCAGTGAATCAGAGTTTCTGACACAGCATCAAGGCATAAAGCAGGCCAAAAGGAAGTGCTTTCAAAAGAACAAGAAAAGGTTTTCCTGTTACACGGGGAAATTAAACATCTAACATAAACCAAAAGTTGTCTTGGATTACTTTTGTCATATATTATGGTCCTGAGCTTAAAACATATCACTTTTCTGGGGTAAAAGAAGTGGGCACTTAAAAAAAAAATTTCTTAAGCCCTTATAAAAGGCAACATAATGAACTCAGGCTCTGGCCAATGACAGAGCTGGTGAGTCTGAGCCCATTGGTCTTCTGCAACCTACACCATGTGCCTGATACGTGACCCTAAGGCTAATCATTATTCAATTCTGCGTGTGTAGTTTCTTTTAACTCAGACCTGTCCTGTTCCACCAGACTGTATGTTCCCTGGCACTGGAGAGCACTGGTTGTACCTGCCACCCTTACCACAGTGCCTGGGCCGTGGCAGGCACACATCACATTTTTGTGCACTGAATGCCTGTCCAAACAGCAGGCATGACTAGCACAGCAGATGACAACCACTGACCTGCACCAAGGAAATGCACAGTGTCTCAAGTCGCACCAGTTCCAAAGGCGGGGCAGTGGTCCGGGTTTCCTTTCTCTGCTGCAGCTCTGCACCAACCTAGTCATTTTCAACGTTCCTCTCATCCTTGCCCCCATTTTTAGGGCTCCACTGAATTGTATGGCAGCCCCAGTAGGTTTTTTCCAAATGCATGTACATCAAGAGCCTCAGCCCCTCCCCACAGAAGCAAAGATGCTAGTCTCTCTCCAAGAAGGGCCGGGATGCCCTGGCCGACTGGGGGCTGTCCCTGACTCCTCAGCTGTCACAGGCCGTCTGCCCTCCTCTTTAAAACACTGCTTCTCTTCCGTCCCTTTTCTGTGCCCAGCAAGCACCTGAATGGGACTTTCTTGTATTTCCTCTTCCTACTTTGCACCTAAATGCTCCTGAACCCAAATCGGTTGTGCCAACCTAGGTTAATAGATTAAACATTCAGCCTGGGACAAATGCCAAAGGTAAGATTCCAGCTTCCTTGTCCACTCACTGCCGTGCCTGATGGGGGAGGGGGCGGTGCATCACCCAGCCACGCCAGCTGCCAGCTCGGAGGGCAGTGACAGCTCCTGGAGGGCAGGGGACGTCTCGGGAAAGGATTTCAGGCCCTCGGAAGATGGAAGCTGAGGTGGGCCGAAGGGGACGGAGCTGAGCTGCAAAAGCAGGAATCATCTCTTGAAGAAGGACCATGATTCAACTATCTGCCCAGTGATCCGTGTGCCGAAGGCACTGCCTTAGAAAATTCTTGAGAAATGAAATTCTGTGATTTCCCTGGGATACTTTGCATGCAGGACCATCTATTTTTGTTTGTTTGTTTGTTTACCCTAAGGATAACATTTAAAACTAGAGCTTTATGGGTCAAAAATATCGTGTGTAGGCCTTTGCAAGTTAAACAAAGAGCTCCCAGGCTGAGCTTCCATGTTCTGGGCCCGCAGAGCCGATCTTTCCCACTAGAGGGCAGCACAAGACCAGCCACTGCTGGGCTTCTAGCATCAAGGTCTAAACCCTGATTTTAGGTTTTAGTGTAATTGGACCTTGGGTCTACTGATCAGAAGGCAATGGGATATGGAGAGGGGGAGAAGCAGATGCAGTCCCCATTTAAGTCAGATATTTCAGTTCCACCAAGGGAATCTCACATTTGATTTAGCTTCATTGAAAAGGACAGAGGCTTGGTGGGGAAAGGCAGGTATGGGCAAGGAAAGAAATCTGGGATCCATGGGGGGAATAAAGGTTTTAGGAGGTGGGAAGAGGCCGTGAAGTAAGTGGGTACAGACAAGCGGGAGGGAGGCAGTGTTGCCCTGAGGCAGAAGCAGCTCCTGGCTCCCGAGAGCCCCGGCAGCCCCCTCCCCCCCCTAGGCTCTGTACTCACTATTTGGCAGAGTCTGACAGCTGGTACTCCCTCCTCCTGTCGTAACACTCCTGGATGCCTGGGTCCAGCCAGAGCTGCTTGATGGCACGCACCTGGTCCCTGGAGAGCGTGGAGACCCTGTCTACTTCCACTTCTCTGATGAGCTGGGCGTTTTCCTACTCAGAGGAAAGAAAACCTTTTATCAAGCAAAGGAAACCAACCCACTGGTGACGGGCACCAGATGTGCCCTGGTGCTGGGGTGTGGCAGGTGCCCTCATGGAGTGGAGCAGATGTGGCTGCCTCACTCAACGGAGCGCCCGGGACCCTGCGCCTGCGGCTGTTGGTCCCAGCACTACGCGGAGCCAGCGTCACTAGCATTCAAAACCGAGTCTAAACCAACACTGGGCTGATGGGTCATCATGGTACTAACAAACTCACCGCCCTTTCACGGGCTCCTTATTTAAACACCAGCATAGCCATGGAGAGATGTAAGAATAACCCTGGTTACTGTCCGTCCCTGCTGAGGGAGGTAGGGAGCGAGCAGCACTGTCCTCAGAGAGCTGCCAGACAGCAGCGCCGCAGAACTGCCGTCCACCCTCCTGTTCCTCTGTAGAAAGGCGGTGGTGGTGTTTTTCCAACTGAGCTTATTTTATACAGTAGTTTTAGGTTTACAGCAAAACTGGGCAGAAAGTACAGGGAGTTCTCATACAGTCTGCCTTTCGTTTCTCATCCTTACCTGAGGTTATGTTTTTATTGATGTTAGAGAGACAGGAAGAGAGGGAGGGAGGGAGAGAGAAACATTGATGTGAGAGAGAAACATCAATCAGTTGCCTCCTTCCCCACCCCAACTGGTGATAGAAAACACAACCTAGATACATTCCCTGACTGGGAGCTGAACCTGCAGCCTTTTGGTGTATGGGATGACGCTCCAACCAAGTGAGCCAGCTGGCCAGGGAGTCTGCTTTTTATTATCACGTGTCAAACTCTCACTGGGAGAAGCATTCCCACAGCACCACCCCCCCATGCCACTAATTGCTAAACTGTTATGTTTATTATCACCATCATTATTAAATAATTACTGCTCTAATACCATTGCCCTATTATTTCAGTAATTAAGATCAGTATTGCTGCAATTATTACCATTACAGCAGTTACTATTTCTTGCCCATTTACTAGGTTAGGTGCCAAGGTTTCCCATACATTATCTCATTTAATCAATGGAAGGCTAGCACAAGACCAGAAATCTTTCCAAACCTTAGCGATTGAAAAGGATAAGGTTGGCCTGCATCCACAGCACGCCCATGTGCTGGGCCCGGAGACACAGCATCCCATCCTTGGCTGCAGCAGACACGGGAATTCTGCCCAGAGGAACAGGGGCCCGAGCCCTTCGTCACCCTCCCATCTTGCAGAATCTCCTCGATGACATCACGCAGAGCTGGCTCTCCAGTGGCAGCCGAGTCAGCAAAGCATCCACACAGCAGCTGTGATCTCCTTGCGTATCTATGGTACCCCCGGAAAAGTTGCTCATACCTTGCATTGCTCATTCTCATTAATAGTCCGGCAGGAAGCCAGGAACAGGGAGATGGAGATTCACCCGGCTCGAGTATGGCCCAGGGCTGTGATGGCATCAGCATGACTACACCACATCCATCGCAAGAACAGGGATAAACTCTTCTGCCTGACTGTGGGATCCTCAGGCAGGCAGAGTCTCCAACAAGGTCGCAGCAGGATGGGTTAGTGGGACGTGCCCTGGATGGAGAATCAGGACCCTGGGCTCTCCGTAGTGCAGTAGGACTTCTAAGAACCCCAACAGGTTATGTGCCTCTGCGTCCTTGTTTGTAAAAGGAGCCAGTGATTTTCAGGGGAACCTGATTTGTAAAGTATCACCCCAATGTAAGTAGAATTAGCCTTAGTATTGCAGCGGATGTGTAACATTTCTTGTTTGCAAAGCAGGACACATGGACAGTCCCTAAACCACAACTTCTAACCCTGCCCACCGTCACACTGGGCATCCTCAGCCCTGTTCTCAGCCAGAGAGAATGGTAGGCGGGGAACCTGGACAGCTGCGCTCGCATGCAGAAGGGCTGCCTCCCACCTCCTCCCCTGCGCTCTCCACCTCCCTCTTCCCCAGAGGATCACAGGGCCTCTTCCCACCCTCCAAGTTTAAAGGGTCTGTTTTCTTTTTTTTAAATCCTCACCCAAGGAGATATATATATATATTATTTATTTTTTAACATTTATCTTCAGACAGAGTGGGAGGGCAGGGGAGAGAGAGAAATGAGAGAAACATCAGTGTGAGAGAGACACATTGAGTGGTTGCCACCTGCATGACCCCAACTGGGGCTGGGGACCAACCGCAGCCGAGGTACGCGCCCTTGGCTGGAATCAAACCCAGGACTCTTTGGTCCACAGGCCCCACTCTAACAGCTGAGCCAAACGATCCAGGGCTAAAGGATCTGTTTTCCTCTGTCTCTTCACGACAAGTCAGGAAGCCACAAGGGCTGAGTCAGTGTCTTGGTCCTTCTATCCCAAAACCTAGGGCGGTGTCTGGCAGAGGACAGGTGCTCTCTGTCGATGCAGGTGTCCAATAAACATGTGTGGCGTTCATAAAAACATATCTAACAGACAGTCACAAGGCAAAAACAGCAAAAGGATGCTCGGGCAGGACGGAAGCCTCTGCCGGGCGTGGTGGGGGCACCGGGAGCTAGAGGACAGGAAAGTCTCAGAGGAGGAGACACTCTGGTGACTCCTGGCCAGTGTCTCTCACTGTGCTGACTGCTAAGAGGGAGAATCGTCAGGGACATTACAGATACTTCTGCCTCTCCTCACACACAATGTGGGATGGTTGGTTGTTCACGCTGAATGAAATGGAACAGAAGCAGCATTTGTCTCTCAGGAAAGAACTTCAATCAGTCGGGAAGCCTGGCTGAGGGAGGCTGCAGAGACCCCCCTAGCACACCCTATTGCATATGTAACATGAGTGAGAAATCGACTTTCATTGTGTTGAGTAAACTGAACTTTGGGGGCAGCTTGTTACTGCAGCACAACCTACTCTATCCTGACTGACACACATTGCAATGGGTAAACCCAGCATCTGGCTCTTCCAGTAGAGAGAAAGGGCATCACGGCGACATTGCGAAGGACGCAGGCTTCCAGAGGCTGCTGCTGCGGGATGGGATCTGGGGAAAGACCAGACCTGAGCTTTCAGGTAGCCAGGGGCGTTCAGCCAGGAGAAGGAAACAGTTTGTTCAGTCAAGTGAGGGGACTTTAGGGGAAATCTGGCCTGAAGGAAAAAGAGAACTCTCCTTAGAAACCCAACAATGGGGCTTGAGTTTGGAACAGACTGAACTCAGAGGGCCCAGAAGTGTTCCGAGTTTAGGGGTCTCCTCTTGGTTAGCTCTCCCATCTGTCAAGATCTTTTTTTTTAAAACTGCTGATGGTGAAATAATCTGACTTGCAAAAATATGAGGGAAATGGCACAAGAGTTCCTCTGTGCCTTTCAAGACCGCCCTAATGCTAACGGTTTACCACTTTGCTTTCTTATTCGTCCCCTGCCCCTCCATGTGTGTGCATGCACATGCACACATACACACATGCGCACATACACTTTCCGGAAACGTTGAGAGGAAGCTGCAGACACAATGCCTCTCTACCTCTAAAGACTTCAGTGTGGTATTCTAAAATCTCAAGGACATTTGCTTATATATCACAGTATAATGATCAAAATCAGGAAACGAACATTGATACAATCTATGTCATCTAATCTTCAGACTTTATCCACAATTTGCCATTGTCCCGTTAATGTTCTTTACCTACCTGATCTAGGGTCACAGTGCATTTAATGGTCTCTATTTTTAAATTAATTTATTTTATTGTTTTTGTTAAAGATGTTTCTCCTTTTCCTTCTGTAGACATCCTCCTCCCATTCCTGCCCCACCTCCAGCATTGTTGTCTAGGTCCACTGTTTACTCATACATACATGTAAATTCTTTGGTTTATCGCCCCACCCCCACCCCAGAAGTCTGTGAGTCTGAACACTACTTCTACGTCTCTGGGTCTATTTTGTTCATCAGCTTATTTTGTTCTTTATATTCCATAAGTAAGTGAGATCATATGATACCTGTCTCTCTCTGATTGGCTTGTTTCACTTAGCATAATACTCTCCAGGTCCCTTCATGTCATCTCAAAGGATAAGAGATCTTTCTTTCTTACAGCTGCATAGTACTCCATTGTGTATATGTACCACTACTTTTTTATCCACTTATCTATTGATGGACACTTGGACTGTTTCCAGATCTTAGCAATTGTAAATAGTGCTGCTATGAACACAGGGGTGCATAATTCTTTTTGATTGGTGTTTCAGGCTTCTTAGGATATAGACCTAGAAGTGGGATCACTGGGTCAAATGGCAGTTCAATTTTGAAATTTTTGAGGAAACACTATATTGATTTTCATAGTGGCTGCACCAGTCTGCATTCCCACCAGCAGTGTACTAGAGTCCCCTTTTCTCCACACCCTCACCAGCACTTGTTGCTTGATGATTTATTGATGGCGGCCATTCTGACAGGTGTGAGGTGATACCTCATTGTTGTTTTAATTTGCATCTGTCTGATGATTAGTGATGTTGAGCATTTCTTCATATGTCTCTTGGCATTTGTATGTCCTGTTTGGAGAGGTGTCTATTTAGGTCTTCTGTCCATTTTTTAATTGGGTTCTTTGTCTTATTTTGTTGAGTTGTATGAGCACTCTATATGTATTGGAAATTAACCCCTTATCTGATGTATCATTGGCAATTATGCTCTCCCATACAGTGGGTTCCCTTTCCATACTGATGCTTGTTTCTTTTGCTGGGCAGGAGCTTTGTAGCTTCTTTCGTCTCCATTTATCTGGGAAGGTCCCGTGGTCAGACATGTCATCTTTGCCTTCTGATGAAGAATGGCCTGACTGGGAATGTTCTTGACTCCCGTCGTCTTGAGAATGGCTGGTGAGAGTGAGTGGCACAGCCGAGACTCGGCATTCCAGGGGCACGTGCGAAGGGAAGGGATGAGTGAGGAAGAGAATGACCTGTTTTTAAAATAAATATTGAAATAGGAGATGAATGACTTGTACAGCAGGCCCTCGAATACTGTCATTTCATTAGACAGTTTGTTGTCATGGTGGTGAGATGCCACAGGAA